TAGGGAACACACAGCACAGCAGGCACCAACACTGACTTCAGTTTACATGAATATGACATCTTTTGTCTTAATCAATTTTGTCCTTGTGTGAGATGAAGTTAAGAAAATATATTCTGGTAGAGAAATAAAAGAATATGCTGCTAAAACACCTTCCTAGCCAATTATGACCCTAATAACATGGAAAAGCAGTTGGGGAGAGGGGAGTGCAGTCTGACAGACAGCCAAACAGGTGCAAGGTGACCTTTTACTTAAATGCTCACATGAAGGAAAAAAAAGACTGCCTTTCAACATTTGTAGCCTGTAATGTATAGTCAAACTACAAACATTGAGTAGCTGTGGTCTTATCCTAAAATAAATAGCATAAACATAATTGAATAATATACATAGCCAAACATGATACACTTTTCTACTATTTTCAAATTATCTTTTTAACATTACCTCTTGGCCCAAAAAAAACTTTTTTGGGGGGGTGTGAGGGCAGGTTTGTCAGTCTTAATTATTGGGGCTCAAAATTAATTTGTATTCACAATAATGTTTGGATTAGAGTGTTAAAATAATTTATTACATGTTTTAGTGTATTATCTCATTATTTTTTATTGTGTCCAAGACTAAATCTCTACAAAATGTAGGTTTTGACTATGAAGTTAAGTATAAACTTACATTTCACCATTTACTATTATTCTCATGTCAATTTTCAAAATATACTCCTTTGTGTTACCACAAGAACCAGATAAATATCATTTATCAGTGTAAATTGAAATGGTGAGGGTTGCGTCACGAAGGGCGTCCGGCGTAAAACTTTTAGCCAAATCAAATATGCGAATCACTAAAACGATTTCCATACCAGATCGGTCGAGGCCCGGGTTAACAACGACCACAAACAGTGCTGTTGACCAACAGGGCACTGATGGAAATTGGACTACTGTTGGTCAGAGTCAGAGAAGAAGAGGAGGATGATTGATTCGGACAAAAGGGGAAAAAAGGAAGAATAGAAGTGTTGGTCTGAAGTTTAGAACTCTGAATGTAGGTACAATTACAGGGAAAAGTAAAGAGCTACCTGATAATATAGAGAGAAGAAGAATAGACATTTTGTGTGCAGGAGACCAGGTGGAAGGGCAGCAAGGCTAGAAACACTGGAGGAGGCTACAGACTGTTTTATCATGGTTCAGATGGGAAGAGAAATGGAGTAGGGGTGATCCTAAAGGAAGAATATGTAAGAAATGTGGTAGAGGTGAAACGGGAGTCAGACAGGTTGATGTGTGTGAAGGTAGAAATAGAAGGAGTGATGATTAGTGTTGTTAGTGGTTATGCCCCATAGGTGGGCTGTGAGTTGGAAGAAAAGGAGAAGTTCTGGATGGAGCTGGATTGGATGATAGAGGGTATCCCCAGGGGAGAGAGAGTGGTGATTGGAGCAGACCTTAATGGTCATGTAGGGGAAGAGGACAGAGGAGATGAGAAAGTGATGGGCAGGTTTGGTGTTAGGTAGGGAAACTTGGAAGGACAGGCAATGGTAGATTTCGCGAAGAGAATGGAAATGG